GTCGTCGCCTTCCCCCGCCACGCAGGGGCCGGTCCTGCGGTTGGGCCGCAGCCGAGCGTCTCCCATTAATCGCTTCCCCATCTCTGGTGGCCACGGGGCACTGGCTGTTCTTTGTCTTTAACTCAACGTTGTTACTGGCTCTGTAAAGCCTCTTAATGGAGTCAAGCGGGCTGTGGCTCGGTGGGAGTCAGGATAATCTAAATGCCGTGGCTGCATTTCTGTGATCGACATGTTCCAGCCCAAGTCCTTCAGTGGTGAAAGCCTCTGTGGTGCTGGGAGCCCAAGAAAACTCCACAAGCACTCAGGGTGAAATCATCTGTCTAATGGAGTCTGTGAGCGAGCTGGTGCTGACTTCAGCCACCCCGTCAGCCCAAAGAGCTCTTTCTTGTAGTAGAAGGCTGTGGTCAGCAACAGGAACTGCCTCTCAAAGTATCACTCAAATACGTTTCCTCACTTTCTTGAGTGTTGGGTCTTGCAGGTGGCTTTTGGTGTTTCTCCTCAAAACTAGGGTGGACCATGGTAGCTGGGGCAGTATCTCAGCTGAGCCCAGCACCAGAAGGTGAGGAGGGTCATGCAGTTTCTCTGTGGGTGCTGGGCCAGCTTTGGAATATTGCTCCAAAGAAAGAGATGCCCCAGGTACTCTGTCTTGGCATGAGGTTGGCATACCTGGCAGTAAACCATTGAGTAATTTTTGCTGAAATCTTGCAAATTGCTAAAATAATTGCCACCTTTTACCTGGAACTAGCCCAGAAAAAAAAAGAATCCTCTGAGCTTTATAGAGCCTTTATGCTTGAAAGCCAGAGAAGCCTGGCGTGATTTGTACATTGTACAACTAAAGAAAGTTACCTAATGACATTTTCATCAAGCACAAAACATCTCTTCAAGGTAAAACATGTCTTTTAGAGACAGTCTTGACTTGGGAGTTTGAGCAGTGGGGAATCCACCACATCCATAGCTGAATTATTTTAATGGATGGTAAGGCTATAGGCAGATATTCACATCCTGAACAAGGGGAGATGTTCAGGATGATGCTGCCTCCTCCCTTCCCTCAATTCCTTACTGGCACTTCCCAACCCAATAATCCTGTGGTTCATTTGAGTGTTCCTTAATTAGCTTTGGGCAAAGCCTACCAGGTTCTGGTTGAATGAGCAGAACTGGCTCAGCTGACTTCTGCCTGAAGCAGGGTAGGGAGCACACCCAGCTGGGTGCCCCACCAAACACTGGGTGTTCATCTCTGCTTAATGACAAAGACCCAGGAGTAGCAACCGGGTGCAGCTGCCTGCAGCTTTGATCTCTATCAGCACTTTGAGTGGAGGTTCCTGAGTGAGCCTTTATCTGCTATCCCGCCCCTTGCTTCAGCTGGGCTTAGTGCTTGTGGAGGTGGGGTTAATTGGACCTGCAGGAGTTGTGAGCCCGGAGCAGGACAGGCTGGTTGTAATACTGCAGCTGCACCCATGAGATGGGCCAACATCAGAGCATCTTCCTCACTCGGGCACGACCTCAGGCATGTTTCATTGCTCCCTGCTTCTTCCGGGCCACAGGAGTAATCTTGGGAAAGCTGCCAAAGAGGCCTGTTTCAGGGAGAATGTGCTTTTATTTAAGTAGTCTCCCCAAACCACTGCTTTTATGCTGCAAAAATGTGTAAAACAGTGTAAATGCTGCATGTGACCAGGTAATGCAGGTTTCTGTGAAGGCTTTCAGTGACCAGGATGATCTGCGGGGTGAGCTACACGTTTGCTAGGCTCAGTTTAGACCGCGAGCTGATGGCTGTATAAATATGGAATGAATACGGTAGCAGAGGAGGGAAAGCAGCATGTTTTAGTCTGTGGGAACAAAAAGCAAAGTCTGGCAGCCGCATTTGTATTGTTTGAGCTACTTCTGAGGAGAGATGAAATCTGTTTGCACCACAGCTGTTCTTTTCCCTTTCCCGTGGGTAGGAGTAATCATTCAGCAGATTCTGTTTCTCTGTGTTTTTCACGTGAAAGTGGCAAACCCAAGTTTCCAGAGAACTTGTACAACCATTTCTTAATTCATCATGTTTCCTATTACACAGCTGTGGAAAGCAACTCCTCCATCTCTCACGGCAGGGCCGTGCAGAGTCCAGGCAGAGAGCAGGGCGATACCTCAGTGCAGGGGTTCATTTACAGACAGTGGCAAAAGCATCCCAGTGGTTTGGGATGCATAATTAATGGCTCGTGTGTCTCGGGAATTCCTTGCACGTGATTGGTTGTGCTGGGGCTGTCTGTGGAAGCCCACGTGTCTATTATCTGTGTTTACCCACGCTGATACCCACAGGAATTTGAATAGATCAGAGACCTGCAGAGCATGTGGTGCTCGACTCCTGCACAGAGGCCTCACTGCTCTCTGTGCACACTTATTGGGACAATGCTGTGAAACATTGCTCAGAAGTAGTAGATGCTGTGAAAAGTTACAGAAATTAAGTGATGGATTTTTGATTTGTTTTCCTCCCTCTCTTCAGGTATTTCCAAGCCAAGATCCACTGGACAGAGCAGATTTCAATGCTGTGGAGTATATCAATACTCTCTTTCCCACTGAGCAAGTAAGTCACGCTCTCAGCATGAGGGGTAACCTGATAGTAAATGGCTGAGGGTGTGTTTAAACCTGTACCCAACCTCCTTCTTTTAAACAGCAGCATGGGTAGTAGGGCTACAAGAATAATCACTTCTTAAATTGGCGTCTCATGAGATTTTGCTGTCATTATGGAGTTTTCTTTCCCCCAAAGTGCTTGCTGCAGTAAAAGTCCTGCTTTGTTCTATAGAAATAAATTAGTTTTCTATATAGAGGTTTCTCTGGCAGTAAATTTGCTAACTTGCTGTGCTTTAATCATTGGTGAATCCTCAGGGGCTTCAGCGAAATAAGGCAGGTGTTGCCTGTGAAATGTCACTGGAAAGTTGTCTGTGTTTGAAACCTATTGTTTCTTTTGAGATTTAAAGAATGAGATTGCTATGGGCTTATATCCCTACTTTGTATTCCCCACATCACCCCCAGGGACAGTTTTGGACTAATCTATTGCAAAAAAAGGAGGTGCTTCTGCAGCTGAAGGTTGGGTTGTGAGCCAGCTTCAATGTTTACCATGTTTAAGATCTGCTGCAGCACCAGCTTCTTTCTAACTTTTGGCTGTTTCTGGTTAGTTTGCTGGTGGTGCTGGCTTGATTTTTTTTCCCTTTGCCAGCAGTGGAGAGCTGTTTCCCCTGCAGTGCCCCCACACAGGCCTCCTCCACCCTGAGTGTCTGGGCTCTGCGGGAGGGTCTCTGCCCCAGGAAGGCCAAGGCTCTGTCCCTGTGGGAGGTCATGTCACTACAGCATTTCAAGGGCAATTCTGTGTGTCTCAGCTTCTCCATCTCTAGAACAAAGTTTTTCTCCCCTCTTTGTCACGCATGGGAAAGTGTTAGGTATCACAGCTGATGTGTATCAGCAGCAAAAGGTTCCCTGTTTCACTTCTCTTTCTTTTTTTCATGTTGTAGTCTTTGGCAAACATCGATGAAGTGGTGAACAAAATCAGATTGAAAATAAGGTAAATATTTCTTCATTTCATAGCATCTCAGGTGGCAGGCAGTCTGGTTGTCACCGAGGCTTCATAAATACATCCTTTGCTCTATAGCCAGTATCTTAAAAGATGTGAATAGGGTCAGTCTTGAGTCCAGTAGTGGGACAGAGATGAGAATGGCTCCCTTTAATTATAATTATTTTTTATACTTTGCCCCTATTGTCTAATATGTACCTTTCAGGTTATTTTAGCTGATGGATTTCAAAGGAGAGTTTTGAAGAAACAATGAAGTAAGAATCGACGAATACCAAATTTTAGTACAGTCTGAAGACTGAGAGAACAAACTACCCAGAAGATTTGGTTGCTGAAAATTTATTGTTTGTGAGGTCAAAATAGCAATTGTAAAATCTCTTGGGTTTTGTTTTAATTGTCATGATTGATACTAAAAGTACAAAATCCATACAAATGTGCAGGAAATACGTTTTCTGTGTAGCCTGGCATTGCCAACCTTTACCAAATGATTGAGACAACACTTTAACATGTGGGAAGTAGAAATGAAAGCAGAGAAGGGAAAATGGACAATATTGCTTAAGGGAAGAGAAATGCAAGAAGCCCTGATTAAATTAAGAAATTAATTTTTGGTTTTGCATCAGGAGTTTTAAATCATGTAAGATAGTGATGTCCTACGGGGGGGGGGGAAAGGTGAGTTTAGCATCGGTAGCACCAGTGTTTTATTTTAAATCCGTTCTGTAGCTCTTAAGGATCTCACAGCTGTTTGGGTCGGACGCATAGAGAATGAGTTTGACATTACAGATTCTTTTCTCCAGGAGGTTGGATGACAACATCCGAACAGTAGTCAGAGGACAGACCAACGTGGGACAGGATGGCCGCCAGGTACGTGTGTCTCATTTCCAGTAAAACCAATAGAGGTTCTCCTCTTGCTATGCTGAAGTGAGAAGCAGCTCTGGTGGGCAGAAACTTGCACCTGTCGTTAGGGAGATGTTTCTGCTCTCTCTGACACAACAGTTTGGCGAGCTGAACAGCTGTTCTAACCTGCTGTCTGGTCACCCTCCAAAGGGAAGGGAATGAGAAATCAATATAAAAATCAAAAGCAAAACCAGGAGGCTTGCGTTTGTGCCAATCTGAAGCTAATGATAAAGCAAACAGGGTTAAATGGGTACAAGCCCATTTGCTGCTGAGTAAGGATCCATAAAAGGCTATTTAGCCTTTATTAGTATCCTGAGCTGCTAGGGGCTGAGCCTGCTGACTGGCTGCCTGTCCATCCTGCACATCTTATTTAGCTGTCAGGTTTTCTTTTGTCTGTTGCTTGACAGAAGTGTTTGCTGGGAGTGCAGCTCTGAGCAGCACGCCACGGCAGCCGTGTTTGTGAACGCTGAGCCTGGGCCACCTGATTTTGAGGTGTTGCCCCTGTGTGTGTTCTGTTTTGGACCAGGAGGATTACTGCCCTGAATTGTCAGTCATGCTGCTTTTCTCAGCGTCAACACTGACTCATCTTTTTAACACTAGATTTAAGACTAGTTTGCTGGGGTGGGGTAGTCATCCCCTCACCAGCACTGGCTGTGTTTTCCACTTCTTGCTGCAGTAGCCATTGGCGTATATTTTTAATCTCTCTAATTTCTCTGCCACAGAGTCTGTGGCCTTTAGCAAATTATTCGACTTATCTGTGCCTTTGTATTGCTTTCATAAAAATGCCAGATGCTTACCTCTCCTAGCAGAACTAGTTTCAAGCTTGCATGATTGCCTGAATACTACTGTTAAACTGGGGACATGCTTGGGATGTGGCATACCTGGGAGTGGTGCTGCCTGTAATCACTGTGCAGGGATGAGACAAGAAATCAAGTGGGAAGGCAATTGCAGAAATTGAGGAGGGAGTGGAAGCTAGTGCAGTATTTACAGAGTTTGGATATGATTGGGAAGCTGGTGATGTTGTAGCCGTTTGGGCCCATTCAAGGTGACAAATTCAAATTCTCAGCTGTTCCTGAGAATTGCCCCGAGTGCCTCGGGACTTGCAGGTCCCAAGGATGAACATGGTGTGGGATGAACAAGGTCAGCTGTGCTTGCAGGATAACAAAAGTGTCTCTGTGCTGTGGAGATTGTGAGCTTTGTTTAGAGCTTTGTCTTTTGTCTGTGCTTTCTCACTTCTTAATCCCTCTGAAGTTTTCCCAAGCGTGTCCAGACTGACACGGGCAGCACCCTGCTCTGAGGTGCTGGGGAGGCAGATCCATCTGTGCTGCCTTTCATTTAGTTTGGTTGTAAAGGAACCAGTTAAACTCCTGTCCAAGTAAAAACCTTCAAACATGCACGTGTGTGTGGCATGACTCTGCAGGGCATTGTTCAAGTGGCCTGGAGCTGCAGTTCATCACAAATATCCCTATATTTAGCTGTGAATTTTCCCATTTTCCCTCATTTTGCTGCTTTGCAAGGTAGCAGTGGACTTTAAGTCAGATGTCAGGGCTGGCAGTTGCACAGACTGCATCAACTAAGGCCACACAGTCTCTAATGGTTGTTTCTTACTTTAAGATATTCTAACAAGTACGGAAACCACTCAGTTATTGAAAGTGTTAGTTCGCTGGTAAGAAAAAAACCTGTTTGAATCTAAAATGCTGTGAGCTTTTTCCTTTTTGTGTTTTTAATCCACATCTGCCCTTTCATGCTTGTACATGGATTTCGTCTGTGAATCACTGGAACCAGACTGCTGGAGCGACAGGACGTGGCTGGGTCTTGATGTTTAAAGCAGTAAAGGAGCATCAGCAAGCTCAGACCTGGCACGGTAGCTGGTCAGAGGGACGCACAGTGGAAGAGGTCATCTGGCAGCGCTGGGGAGTGCTTGAATTGCGTTTCAGTTTGAGTTGAAATTTTATATTTGTCTCTCCAGAACCAGAGGAAACCTAGAAGAAACATTTGCTGTTCCTGTCACCCCCCGCACTGCTTTCTTTGAGCATATCTTGTGTGCTAGCTGGGGGAGTGAGGCAGCCTTTTGCACATGACCACCCTGTTGATAGCCGATTGTGGGGGCGAAAACCTTGCTTTTCAGCTTCAGCCACCAGTTCCCATGCCAAAGAATGCCTTTGTTCTACCAGTGCATTCTCAGTGGAATCAAGGACGCTTAGAAATGTTAACTTTTTATAGAACAAGAGACCTGGCTTCTCCTGCTTGGAGAGAAAGGGTTTGATTTTCCAGTGTATGGTAAGACATTGTTTTGAAACAACTCAAAGCAAGGTTCCTTTAAGACTAGTCAGCACTCTGCTAGAAAGGGAGTCAGTGCTACTGAAAGGGGCTTTTTTCTTTCTTTACCTTTTCTGGTAGTAGTTTGTAGTTTGGTCCCACAATAAAATTAGGTTCTTTCTTCTACTGATCTTCTATTCTTATTAAATTTGTAGGAGATTTGTATCCTCAAGACAAATTATTTCCTTGCAAAATTTGATTGAAGTATGCACATGGATAGATAATATCATCCTGTGAACTTCTCCCTGAGGAAGCCTAGGCTGAAGATCGTTATTACGTTTTATCATAGTAACCACAACTGCAAACCACCCTTGATTAATTAAGAAACAGTTGGCAACCAGCTTGTGCAATAGGTTTGAAACAAAGCTTAGAACCAACCGCAGTGAAAAGTTGAACCTTTTCCCATTTATAACACTTTCTTCCCGTGTGGGATGCCTGTAGCCTGCGGTGTGCAGTACTTGCAGCAGACTAGCTTTTGAAAAAGCAATTATTGTCTTCTGACTGACTTCCATCCCTTGATGCACTGAGACCCGAGAGGAACGATGCAGTCTGTCGTGTCCTTGAAAGTGTGTGCTGTAGATAAAAATGCATGTGAATTCTGAGGTTGTAGCTGCTTGAATTTCAGTGGGAGCTCAGGATTCTGTGTGTTTATTGCAAGACTGGACCTGGAAGGTGTTGTGCAAAAGCCTCTTTCCTTCAGTCACGGTGTCTAACGACTCGTGGTACAAACTGTAATCAACATTTGCCAGAATTGCCTGACAGCGTGGTGTCAGAGTTAGAGGAGCCATTTGTGTCTGGAGAGTAAATAAGTTTCCATAAACATCTTTTCAATCTCTGACTTCCTTCCAAAGGAAACATAAACCTCAGATGCAGTGGTAGAAGAAAAAAAAAATTCCGTTTAAGTCAAAGGAAGCCAGAAGGGTGTCCCCCGCTGAGCCCCTGCTCTCAGTTGTCCGTGTTCGCTGTGCCCTGCCCGCCTCAGGTTAGTGTGGGGAGGCAGAGCTGCCCGCACGCGCGGTCGCCATCCCTGCTGCCCTTGCAGGTGAGGGAGCACCGTGTGCTGTGGGTGCAGAAGCTGATTCAGGAAGCTCATCCTTGGCTTTCCCACCTCCCGTCAGCCTTAACTGCCAAACGTGGGGTTGGGAATCTCATGTAGGCCGTTGGTTCAAATCACCAGGACCTGGCACCTGCCACAGACCCATCTAATTTCTTTTTTTGGTAGCGTGTTGGAGGCCACTGATACCAGGGAAGATCCTAGAAGACGAGCTAAGGGTATTCAGCCTTTAACAGCTTGCTTTGTCTTCGGGGAAGAAGGGGTCATTTACCACCTGAGCCCAGCAAAGCAGCTTTCCCTCTGGTGTGGAGCCTTGTGGAGAGCTGCACCTTTGCAGCCGTCCAGGAGAGGGGAGCCCAGCCTCGGTTTTGAGACTAGGGCGACGTTTTACTGGTTGTTGATGGCGAGGGAGTGCTGCCAGCAGAGACGTGTCTGAATAGTGCTGCATGTTATTCTCCCAGTTAGAGCAATCTAACCCCACGTTGGACCCAGTGGGGAGTACGTAGTGTGCAGCTATGGGAATGTGCTCTCCGTGCTCCTTAAGGAAAAGGAGACCCTGAGGATAGCAAGTTCAAAAATTGCAGATCCAGCCTCTGTACTCCCTGTGATCGAGTCTTCTGTCCTGCCTGACTGGCAATCTGACAGTGGTAATGTTGGGGTGAACACCTCTGTGCCCTGCCTGGGTGCTGAGATGGTTGAGCAGGTCTTTGAAGTGAGTTGTAGTTATGAGAGGGATGTAAGAGCAGCTTTTTATAGTCAGTCTTTAACTTCTAAACTGTTTCCCAAATAGTCTTGATCACATACACGTGTTCATATAAAATAGTATTTAGGTGTCTGAAAAAGCAGATTCTGAATCTAAAAATAAAGTCGACCAAGTAGATGTGGCCCCAAAAGAGTTATTGAAGCAGCTCTAAAGACAGGAATGCTCCCTTCTCCACAAAGCGTAACGTTTCCCAGTTCAAAGCATCTGCCTTTTTGAAATTTTGCCCTAGAATTTCCTCCAAATGCAAAAGCCTTAAAATAGTCTGGCTCATTTGGCTTCCCCTTCCTGGTGCGATATTTCAGTAAAATCTGTAGACAATACCATGAGCCTCAGAAATTATCTCACTAATGATCCTTTTATGGGAGGAAACAACAGTTGTGGGTGGAACATTCCTCTGCAGGGCGTAACAAAATTTTCCTTGGGAGTCCCAGATTTGGGCTGTTTCGGCTGCCTTGGGAGAGGCTGGGAGTGCGGGAACTGCCGTGGTTCAGTTGTAACAATACGCGCTTCAAGCTGCGCCTGCCGTTTCTGGGGAGCCAGTGCTATCCGAATTTTCCGCTCTAAGGTTTTTCTCAGAGCTGCTGCTGAACTGGAGTCTGGGCTGACCTTGCCAAGAGCTGCAGTCCAGTTGTGGCATAATTTCCTCTCTGCCCTAGGGTGTAGTATAAAAAGTTCCCATAGATTTTTCCGCTGAGTGTTTAACGCACCCCGTGCGGTTTTATTTGTCGCTCTTTCGTTGTGTTTATTGCTAAACCTTATGCGTGGACTAGCTGTAATTTTTTTGACAGTTGCTGACATGCCTTTACGGGTTGTTTGGCTGAAGCTGCTTCACCTGTCAGGCTGTTG